TAAGTTTAAACCACTGAGATCTAATCCTAACATGTGTAGGAACACAAGTTTTAAAGCCACGTTTACAGAACCTCCGTTAGAAATTTTAAGCAAATTACAACAGATTTAATTCAGATTAATTTAGTGAAATTAAATAATGTTTCAAGCACTTGTTTTAGAGTTCAAACTCAGTCCTAGAGTGATTACAAGGCATCCAAACATCCTACTGATCTCAATTAAAATAACGCTTAACCGTAAACCACAGCAAGAACAAATAGCAGAATATCAACAATTTTTGCAAAGCAGTTAATTCACGAGAGTAGACGAAATTCATACATGCATATAAAACTTGTTATAAAGTTTATTTAAGTCCGTTTTATCCTTGTTTTAATCCCTAGAGTCTAACTAGGCATGCACAGAACACGAATTAACGGGAAAGAGAAGAACAGAGACTTGCCTGTAATTTCAGAGTTTGAAACTATAAACCACCGTCTCTAAGGTTTTTCGACTACCTTCTAAACTGTCATTCCATGCCTCTACCACTCTTGGTTAAACCCAGAAGCAACCCCGTTCCTTTCTCCTTGGACTTCTCTATTAAACTCTCAAGGTTTACTCTCTGTTTTTCCTAAAATTCCTCTCTATTGCACTCTGTACTTTCACTCTGTTTCTTAGGTACGTGAGAAGAACCTTATGTATTCTCTAAAACCCTAAACCCACATAACTATATATTTATAGAACCAAAATCTTAGACTAATTTTAATTTGTTTACAAACAGGAAAACAAAACCCTAACATTCATTACCTAATATGTCGGCAACATCCGTGTAAAATAAAACCCTAATTTACCATAAAGAAAATACAGTACATTAATTAAATAAAACAATTAAATCAGTATCAAAAATTAATCAAGTAATATATCATTAAAACAATCTCAATTAACATGTAAATTAAATACACACAAATATAAATTAAATCAATTAAACAACCACAATTAATCACTTAAGAAAACAAAACAACTAAGTCACATAACTAAATCAATTAATCAATGAAAAATAAAATTAAATTTCCAATTCTATCCTTTTGAAAACTAGGAGTATTACAGGATTAATGATTTTTATTTTTTATTTAAAATAATTTATTTGATTTATTTGGGATTACTTGCTTTTATTTTTATTTTTAAATGATTTGTTTTAATTAATTGAGTGTTATGATTTAATTATCTTATTTGTATTAATTTATATTTCGTGTTTATATATGATGATTGTTTGTTTGTGTGCTTAATTATTGATTGAATTATTGGCGTGTTGATTGTATTAGTATGGTGTGATTTGATTGTAATTTCTTGTTTTGTTTATGTGTTTCATGTAATTAGTTTTTTTATTTAAGTATTTATTTAGTTATTTGATTTAGTTAAATTAATTGTATTTGGGTTTAAGGGAAGTTGGACCAAAAGATATGGTCTTGAACTTGTATGAAGCCTTATTGGGTTAATTAATAAAGGCCCATGGTTATTTGATTATTTAAATGATCATTTTTGGATAACTATAAATTTATATAAATATAATTAATTTATAAGTGTTATGGAAAGATATATATATATATATATATATATATATATATATATATATATATATATTGGTCTATATATGTATATATGATTTAATTAACCAATGGTTAATTATGGAAGATGTGTGTGTGTGTGTGTGTGTGTGTGTGTATGTGTGTGTGTGTAATATAATATATATTTATAGATATATATTATTTAAAGATTATAATTTTAATTCATAGTCTTAGTTGGTAAAGGATTTGGATTTTTATGTGTATAAATATACACATAAGGCTTTAGGGTTAAAAGTTTATACATTAGAAAAATAAGAGAAACAGAGAGAGAATAAGAAGAGAGGTTGACAAAGAGGGGTCTGGATCGGAGAAAGAGGACGTTGGAATTGGAAGAGACAATCGAAGCTTGAAGCGTCGGTTTTGTTTCAAAACCTTCAAGCGAGTTTTTTCTATCTTTCCTCTTAAAACTCATAAATATTTCACTTGAGTATCAAGACTTTAATTAAATTTATTAATTAAATCGTAGTTAGATCTGATGAATTAAAAGTATGAAATATTATGTTTTTAATTCTTTTGGAATTTTGGGTTTTAATTTATACATATATGTGATGTATTTATTTTAAAATCAATCTATAGGTTGATCTTGGACCCAATATGATTAATTAGGGTTTCTAGAGTTTCTGGAATTTTTCTGTAATTTTTGGAATTTTCTAGATATTTTTCTGGATTTGTTTTATATTTTTGAAATTTTGTTATAATTATTCAAGTTTAAATTTTACTGTTTAAATACACTGGAGGCTCTGGGTTAATCGGCGCATCAATAAGGGGTTATGGTTCACTGTGGTGCGGCACACTATATCCTTGTGTGCGTGTGAATCAAAGCCATTGAGGTTTGAAAACAATGCTAGATTGATTGGGTGTGATGCGAGTGCATGGAGGGTCAATGTGCCACAAATTTGAGCCTTAGATATAGCTGATTGAAGGGAAAGTTGATATGATACGGCGCTAGTGCATGGAGGCGTATGGAGATGCGATGAGATGATCCTGTGTGACGCGCATAAGGACAAGCATGCATCCAGCGAATGGCAGCTTGCCACATCAGCCAATAAGGAGGATTAGGCGCACGGCAATGCGTGAACTACGCGTGGGGGCGCGTGAAGACAGCTGACAGCTAGTGGTTGCGCGTGGAAGCGCATGAGATGTGTTTAGGAGCGTGTGGTGACGCGTGGGGGCGAGTGAGGCACTGTTTAAGGTCCCGTTAAGGTCCGGTGAATTTATATAATTGATTTTAAGCCTATTGGGTTAAAAACAACCACTAAAGGAGGTGTTCTTGGTGTCCTGAAAGCCATAGATTGTTACTACAATGATTAGTAACATTTATTTTGCGTAAATATAATAACTTATTATATTGTTATGGAATGTGTGGTATATATGTATTTATATAATTATATATATATGTGTGTACATGGATTTTATTAAATTGTGATTAGTATGAAAGGAATGATATATATATATATATATATATATATATATATATATATATATATATAGGATTTAAATAATCAAGGATTATTAAGGAAAATTTATACACATATATATTATATAATAGATGTGTATATATATGTTTGTTAATTAAGATTATTAGTATTATTATTTTTATTTGATATATCTGGATAGACTGGTTGTTAAATTAGGGATGTACTTATAGTCTGCATGAGATATCTATGTATAAATTAGTTATCATTGAGCCTACAATTTGTACATAGATGAGTTACCATAGGCGTAAATATATTGCCTAAGTATTTGTATGAATAAAATACATACATTAGAAGTATGGATGAGTTGCTAGTTTATTAGTATAAATAAATATATTTAAGAAGGTATGGTTGAGTTGCCAATATATAAATAAATATATTTTTAATGGCATAATTGATTTGCCAATGTATAAATAAATATACTTAAGGAGGTATAGTTGAGTTGCCAATATATAAATAGATATATTCATAATGGCATGGTTGAATTACTAAAGCATAATTAAATTGCTATGTGTATTAGATGATTAAAATTCATTTATGGATACTGTATGTATAAGTTGGATTATGATTAGATATTCTTAAATTAGAATAATCTAGTAGTTACATGTTAGTGTATTATTTTATATATATTAATAAAATAATATTGATAGTGACATGGATGATTTGTCAAAGCCTAGATATTGACTGTATGATTTAAATAGTTAAATTCATTATTGGCTCTTGGATTAAATAGAATTTTCCTTGAATTATATTTTATTATTTAAATGATTAAATAATTATTTAAAATAGAGTTAAGGTTAAAGGGGTTTCTCTTTAAAAGAAAATGAGTTTTGAATTAGTTTAGGTATGATTATGTTCTGATGATTATAATTTAATTACCCATGGATAGGGGAAGATCGTTAAAGTAACGCGCTATCTCATAAGATTGAGATAGGCTCTGCAGACTAAGATAAGGACTACGACTAAGATAAGGGTTACAGATTACGATAAGAATTGCAGAATACGATAAGGATTAGACCAACAGATTATGATAAGGATTAAGGACGACGTGGACGCTACGTAACATCCTAACCCAAGTCCTATAAATAGGAAGGGCTAATTGACATTTGGAAGTAGGCAAAAAACCCTAACTCAATATCTCGATTTCTCCAGAGAGATTATCATTCACACTGACTTGTTCGTCGGAGCCTACTCCACCGGTAACACACCGGTGTTTGTAGGATCACTTTTTCTTCTCTTTATTCAGGAAGTCAGATCAGATCCGGGTTGCGCAGAATCCATCTTCAACAGTTGGCGCCGTCTGTGGGAACTTATTTTTGTTCTCTAAACAAAGCATGGTTCTATTGCGATCTGGTCTGGCTGCTGGCGAGGGCGAAGGGTTGCAGGCTTCTGATGCAGGGACTTCAACGGGGCAACCCCCGTCGTCCCAAATGATCAGGAACGCGTCGCAGCGTTGGAACAACTGGTGAACCAGTTAGTCCAGCAAAATGCGATGATTCTGCAACGCTTAGCCGCCCCCAACGAGGAGAGAAACAGTGAAGTACCCAACGATGACTCCCATAGGGTTAACAACGATGTTGAGCTTAGTCAAATAGGGGGTCAACAGAGGAGCCATCACCATCGATCCCCTGAACGGAATACCACCAGGCTCCGTGGAGATACTTCTAGTTATGTTGGAGACAAGACTGAGGACGCCACTCAGTTCGATCTAGAGTTGCAGGATCTGAAAGCCAAGGTTGACGATGTCATGCAAGCGATGAAAGGGAAGGGCCAGGCTGTAGTGAACGATATGGTACAAAAGACTAACCTAGCTTTTAGCCCAGCTGTTATGAGTTATCCTCTACCTAGCAAATTCAAGATGCCAACTCTTGAGAGCTTCGATGGGACGCGGGACACTCTCGACCATTTGGAGACCTAAAAAGCTCTTATGTATTTGCAAGCCGTACCGGACGAGATTATGTGCAGGGCTTTCCCTACCACACTCAAGGGTTGGGCTCGTCTCTGGTTCAATAAATTAAAGCCAGGATCCATTGAAAACTTTGAAGAGTTGAGCAAACAATTCATAGGACACTTCATCGCTGGGCAGAAGCACAGGAGACCAGCAACACATTTACTTAATGTGAAGCAGCAGAAGGGAGAGTCCCTTCGTGATTACATAAGTCGTTTTAACACTGAAATGCTGCAAGTTGAAGAGGTGGACGACAAGGTTGCCCTCACAGCCTTTATGGGAGGACTACAGACTTCTAAGTTCCTATTTTCCTTATCAAAGGAAGCCCCTACAAGCATGACAGAGTTGATGGTTAGAGCGCGGAAGCACATGAACGCTGACGATGCTATGAATGCACGAAAAAACAAAGATGGTAAAGATAAGAGGTCGGATAAGAAGAGGCCAGCACCTAGCACTAGGGAGGAAAGGGAATTGAAGTACAAGAAATTCTCAAACAACCAAGCTGACAGATCGTTTCGCCGCCCAGCGAGCCCAGGCAGGTATAATAACTATACCCCCCTAAATACATCTGTAGAGCAAGTCTTTCTGCAGATTCAAGATGACGCATCATTGAAATGGCCACCAAAGCTAAAAGCTGATCCAACAAAGAGGTCTCGAGATAAATACTGTAGGTTTCACCGGGACCATGGACATAACACAGAGGATTGTTTCGACCTCAAAAACCAGATTGAGAACCTTGTTCGTAAAGGTCATTTACACAAATTCACAACTAGAAATGGAAAAAGAGGCTCCAACCCAGCCCGGGAGGGCCGAGATGATCGCCCTCCTCAACACCAACCAATGGGTGAGATCAAAGTTATATCGGGTGGCTTCGCTGGTGGTGGTGAGACGAGTTCAGCTTGGAAGGCTCATGCTAGGAGAATTCAGAGTTTTTCAGAGGTGAATGAAGTTGGAATGACAAGTCCTCCAACCAAATTACCTCGAGTTGAGGAGCCGGTCATAACCTTTTCTAAAGAAGATGACAAGGGAATTCACCAACCCCATGATGACCCTCTAGTAGTTTCCATGGTCGTTGCTAATTTCACTGTTCGACGAATACTAATAGACAATGGTAGCTAGGCTGACATATTATTTCTTAGGGCGTACGAGAAATTGAAAATTGGCCGAGAGAAGCTCCGACCCATGAAGTCACCACTGGTGGGATTTTCAGGTGACAAAGTATATCCACTGGGGGCAGTTACCCTTCCAGTTACTGCAGGAGCCAATCCAAAGCAGGTCACTGTAATGGTGGACTTTGTAGTGGTGGACTACCCATCATCATATAATATTATCCTGGGGAGAACGACATTGAATGCTATGAAAGCAATCACGTCCACTTACCATCTCCTGATGCGTTTCCCAACTGAATATGGTATGGGAGAGATAAGAGGGGACCAAACAATGGCTCGCAAATGTTATGTCACCTCTCTCAGAAAAATAAAATCGCAAGAGGCATTTACGATTGAAGGGCTAGAAGGGAAAGATAGACCAGACTTTCATAGAGCGGAACCTACAGAGGAGCTAGAAGAGGTCATCCTTGGTTAGCCCAAGAAAAAAGTGAGTATAAGGTCTTTACTCCCCCCAGGTATCAAAGATGAACTTACTCAATTCCTCAGGAAGAATCAAGACGTATTTGCATAGGTACATGAAGACATGCCGGGTATAGACCCCACTATCATGGAGCACCGCCTAAATGTAAATCCTGACTTCAAACCTGTCAGACAAAAAAGGAGGACTTTTGCTCCAGAAAGGAATCAGGCTATATCAGAAGAGGTGGAAAAGCCCTTAAAAGCCGACTTTATTCAAGAGGTGTACTACCCCGACTGGCTGGCAAATGTGGTCCTAGTGAAGAAGGCAAATGGAAAATGGAGGCTATGTGTGGATTTCACCGACCTTAACAAAGCTTGCCCGAAGGACAGCTTTCTTCTCCCAAGAATCGATATGCTCATTGAGGGAACGGCTGGACACGAACTATTAAGTTTCATGGATGCATATTCTGGATACAACCAGATATCTATGTACACCTCAGATAGAGAAAAAACGGCCTTCATCACTGATAGAGGTTTGTACTATTACAAAGTAATGCCGTTTGGGCTCAAGAACGCTGGTGCAACATACTAGAGGCTAGTGAATGCAATGTTTAAGCATCAAATTGGTAGAAACATGGAGGTATATGTTGATGACATGTTGGTGAAAAGCTTAAAAGCTGAAGACCATTTGACTGACCTGCAGGAGACCTTCGAGGTACTTAGGAGTCATAAGATGAAACTCAACCCCAGCAAGTGTGCCTTTGGGGTTTCCTCAGGAAAGTTCTTGGGATATATGGTAAGCAGAAGAGGAATTAAGGCCAATCTAGAGAAGATCCGAGCAGTCATTGACATGAGATCGCCAAGATCAACCAAGGATCTACAACGACTAACAGGGAAGATTGCTGCCTTGAGTAGGCTAATCTCTCGGTCAACTGACAGGTGTCTACCTTTCTTTCGTGTGCTAAGGAAGGCTTTTGAATGGACCCCAGAATGTGAGCAGGCATTCAAAGAACTAAAGCAATACCTTAGTTCTCCCCCACTACTGTCTCGAACCATACCGGGAGAGGAACTATACATATACCTTACAGTCTCCACGACAGCTGTCAGTTCAGCTCTGATATGAGAAGAAGAAGGGGTCCAAAGGCCAGTATACTTCGTGAGCAAAGCACTTAGGGGTGCGGAGGAAAGATATCCAAGGATGGAACAGTTGGCCTTTGCTTTAATTGTGTCCACCAGGAAACTGAGACCATACTTTCAAGCGCATACGATAGTGGTCCTAACAGATCGACAAGTCCTACATAAGCCAGAAAGCTCTGGTCGACTGATGAAGTGGTCAGTAGAGTTAGGGGAGTTCGACATTCAGTATAAGCCAAGAACAGCAGTAAAGGCTCAGGTGTTGGCTGATTTTTTAGCTGAGTTTACCCCTCCAGAAGAGGAGAAACAACCCCAATTTTTGACAGAACCAAGTTTAAATGAGCAGATGGGCCCAGAAGTAGTCTGGGACTTGTTCGTGGATGGGTCATCTACTGCTCAGGCTAGCGGAGCCGAGCTTGTTCTTGTCTCCCCAGAGGGAGAAAATATACAGTACGTACTTCGGTTTGGTTTCAAAGCAACCAACAACGAAGCAGAGTACGAAGCCTTGATAGCAGGATTAAAAGTGGCAAATGCCCTAGGGGTTGAGCAATTAAAGGTGTACACCGACTCCAAGCTGGTCGCTGGACAAGTTCAAGCGGAATATGAGGCACGAGACGAGAAGATGAAGAGTTATCTACAAAAGGTGAAGGAATTAAAGAATCACTTCCAAAGATTCTCAATTCATCAAATACCATGAGAAGATAATGGGAAAACAGACGCTTTACCCCGGCTAGCTACTGCATTAGAACCTGAGATCAATAAGAATATACCACTGGAATATTTGGATGAACCATCTATATCTCAGGAGAGACAAATTGAAGTGCAACAAGCGATATTGAGTGTGAATGGGCAGATCCTATCATCAGATATATCAAGGATGGGGTGCTACCAACAGACCGAGCAGAAGCTCGAAAGGTCAAGATGCGGGTAGCTAGGTATACGCTTATCAAAGGGGTGCTCTACAAGAGAAGCTTCTCCATGCCGTATTTATGATGCGTTTCTAGCGAGGAAGCTGACTACATTTTGAGGGAGATCCACCTAGGAGTTTGTGGAAACCATGCTGGGGGTAGGTCACTTGCAAACAAGGCCATCCGACAAGGATACTATTGGCCCACTATGCAGAAAGATGCACTTGACTTCGTTAAAAAGTGCGACGAGTGTCAACGATTTGCCAACATCCCGAGACAACCGTCAGAGGAGATGACTCCCATGTCAGGACCATGGCCATTTGCTCAATGGGGAATGGACTTGATTGGCCCTCTCGTCAAAGGCAAAGGGCAGACTAAGTATGCCATTGTTATGGTTGATTACTTCACTAAATGGGTAGAAGCTAAGCCTCTGGCTAAGATCACAGAGAACAATATAGGGAAGTTCGTATGGAAATCAATAGTTTGTAGATTTGGGATTCCTAGAGTGATTGTCACAGACAATGCAAAACAGTTCGATAACTCTGACTTCAAAAATTTTTGTTCCGAGCTCGGGATTCAAATTCATTTCTCATCGCCAGGACATCCCCAGGCGAATGGACAAGCCGAAGTCACTAACAGAACAATCCTTCAGCTGATCAAGACTCGACTTGATGCTGCAAAGGGATTGTGGCCTGAGCAGCTGCCGAGTGTACTGTGGGCTTACCGTACTACTGCAAAGACTCCCACAGGGGAAACCCCTTTTCTTTTAGCATTTGGAAGTGAGGCAGTAGTACCTGTAGAGATTGGCCTAACAAGCTTTAGGACGGAGCACTACGAGCCCAAGCAGAACGAAAGGGAGTTGGAAGTAAGCTTGGACCTAATCGAAGAAAGGAGATACCTAACCCAGATTAGGATGGCTACCTATCAACAGAAGGTTTCCAAGTATTACAATGCTCGGGTCAAGCCTAAGAGGTTCTCAGTAGGAGATTTAGTACTCCGCAAAGTTACTCAGGCAACTAAGGATTCAACCATAGGGAAACTAGGTCCCAAATGGGAAGGGCCTTACAAAGTTACGCGATGTCAGCGACCAGGAACATACTGGTTGGAGGACTTAAAGGGAAAGCCACTGCCTCACCCATGGAATGTTGAGCATCTAAAGAAATATTATCAGTAAACAATTTTAGTTTAGTCTCAATTTATTATTTATTTTTGCTAATACTTCTAGTTGCAATAATTACTTCATTCTCTACGAATGAATGTCTTCAATAGCTTTGTTATCAACTTTGGCTTTAATAAAGTATTCCCTACTTGGATCAGTTGTTTCAAATAATTCATTATCATTTTGATATGTTAAGATATTCATGTTAAATTTGTGAGCTGGGTGAAGCTCATAATAATCTACTTCCCTTGTTAAAGGGTGAGCTGGGTGAAGCTCATAGCAATCTACTTCCCTTGTTAAAGGGTTAGCTGGGTGAAGCTCATAATAATCTACTTCCCTTGGTAAAGGGTGAGCTGGGTGAAGCTCATAACAATCTACTTCCCTTATTAAAGGGTGAGCTGGGTGAACCTCATAGCAATCTACTTCCCTTGTTAAAGGGTGAGCTGAGTAAAGCTCATAGTAATCTACTTCCCTTGTTAAAGGGGGAGCTGAGTGAAGCTCGTATACATCTACTTACCTCATTACATAGACGAGCTGAGTAAAACTCGTCTTAATCTACTTTCCTTATCAAAGGGATGAGCCGACCAAAGATGTCAATAAAATAACATAATGCGGCAGTCGCAATGGCAAAACATAACTGTCCTTCCTACTTATCAACCCTACAAATATAAATGGAAACTGATTGTAAAGAAAGAGAAGTTTCAAGCACAAAGAGAAACATGGGAGCAAATAAATGAATGGCTACACATCTATCCTATTCGGAATCACTCGCTTCATCTAGTTGAATGACAGAGAAGTCTTGGTCTGCAAATTCAAAAGCAGCACGATTATGAAAATCTTCGAAGTCGTCAAAGTAGGCCTTCGACATAATCTCCTTGAAGGTGGGTGAGGCTTTAAACTCACCCACTGCATTGGCTCTTTCCACCATTAGTTTCTAGGACATCTCCTTGTTGAGTTTTTGCACATAAGATGCATGACAAGCTCTTTCTGTTTTTAACTCAGCACGCATTGCTTGTAGAGTGACCTCATGTTTATCACGTTCCACTTGTAAATCGGCTTGGTGTTGGGAGCGAGTAGAAGCCAACATATTGGTGTAATGCTCTCCTCCTTTTACAGCTAGACACGACAAGTAATACGCGTGTGTATTCACCTGTACGCACGTGGGAATAAAAAGTTACAATGAAGAGGAAAAGAAAAGCTAAATAAAAACAGAGGATGGTGCGAGAGTTAACCCGTGCGAGATCATGCATGAGTCGGTCTACAATCTCAGTTGGAGGGTGTGAATTCAGATACATCATATCCTCCTTCGACAAAGACTCGCTTATCTTCTTAAAAGCAAGTTGAGCATTACCTAGAACAGATGCTGCTGAAGAGTAGGGATCTGAGGGGAGTACCGCTGCTTCAGTAAGGAGTGGCATAGTCCCATCCACAAGCTGATGAGGGAATTGCGAGTCTAATTCGTGTGGAGAAACAACTGAAACAGGTAAGACCCTTTGTGCTGTAATAGTAGGCTTCTTTTTTTTTCCTCTTGGCGGGGAAAGTAGGTAGGAAGTCACTTGAGCCTTCTTTGAACTGAGCTAGAAGCCTCTTATTAAGTTTTCGGGATATAGTTACAGAGGACTTGCCAACTGGCTGAGGACTAATCCCATGGGTAAACAAAGTCTGAGGTGTCATGAGTGAAGACCAGTCCCTCACTGGGTAGTTAAAGGCTTCCTTTATTCGCTGGATATCATCAGATGAAACGGCAATCTCTTTCACGTCTGAAAAAACAACAACTCTGTTAATAACTCAAACAAAATTTACTTTGAGTTTTAAAACATAAGAGGGTATCATTATGGACAACTCACCGGTGGAATTCTGATTACACCACGCACGAGGAATGGAAGTCCCTATTCGTAGGAAAGCACTTTCTTCCGGAAAGAACTCCCAGTCATCACCAGAAACGAAAAAGAAACTGTTTTTCCATGGTTTGTGCTTAAGGGGAATTCCAGAGATAAGAATTCTGTCCCGTGGGGAGAAGTACAGCCAGTCACCCCTTTTGGGAATGTAGCAATGAAGAAACTCTTGGATAGTGAGCGAGGTATTACAACAAGCTCGCCACAGAACTAAACAACCCATCATTGTTTTCCAGGCATTCGGGGAGAGTTGAGTCGGAGCAAGATTAAGGTGACACAACAGTTCCCTAATAAAAAGAGGGATTGGAAAACGCAATCCGGCAATGAAAGCAGACTCATAGAAACAAATCTCAGTTGGGTAAAAGGAGGACGCTCTATCATCAAGTGAAGGAAGTCTGAGAGCAACACTGTCTGGAATTGAATAAGTTTGCCTGATCCAATCCAGATCCTGTGAGGTAAGGGAGCCTGCTATATCCTGTACCAGATGTGTCTCTGACGGAGCCAAATCAGACTGGCGGTGTTCCTCGTCTGACATAGTGTTAGATTCTGGATAAAACATGCTGGCAGTAACACACGCTACTGTATGCAAGAGCCTAGCTTCACAGTGACCTATAAAATTTTCTAACTTTGGTCTTGGTATACTGAGTTGGAGGAAAAAGCAATAACGAATTAAATAGAAGCAGGAAGAAAACGAGGGCATGGAACTTACCACATCACTACGACTGGCACTACCTGGCTTTCTGGATGATGGAAGTAATTTGAATGAATTTTACTTGAACCATCTCGGTTTATAGCAGAAGAACGTAAACAGATAAGGAAAGTATTTCTGGTGGAATTCTAATAGAAATCTGTTTCGTGAGGGACAAGCAGCTCTCAGCGGGCTATTTTACTTTTACAAGGTAGAATAGGATTCGGAGTTCGAATAGGACAACCACACTGGCAGCCCTGCATGAGTTACCTATGTGCCAAAAGGTAGGCTGCCAGCATGGCAGCCTGCCATATATACAAACTGTCAATGTGGCACTACGGTCCTGCCAATGAGGCACTACGACAAATATTTCAAAGGCAACTACGGTCCTACAAAAAAAAAATATAGGAAAACAAAAAAAATTTAAGTCAAGTTAATGGATAAGGCTCTACTATTTCATAATCAAACCAACTTATTGTAGAAATACAGGGTGAACGGTTCTACAATTCCAGCTATTTGTTATTATGTCATATTTGGGAATTAACGTTCCGGTGGTTTGACAAGCAATCCTCCGAAACGGGGGGCAACTGATGATTATAATTTAATTACCCGTGGATAGGGGAAGATCGTTAAAGTAACGCGCTATCTCATAAGATTGAGATAAGCTCTACAGACTAAGATAAGGACTACGACTAAGATAAGGGTTACAGATTACGATAAGAATTGCAGAATACGATAAGGATTAGGCCAACAGATTATGATAAGGATTAAGGACGACGTGGACGCTACGTAACATCCTGACCCAAGTCCTATAAATAGGGAGGGCTAATCGACGTTTGGAGGTAGGCAAAAAACCCTAACTCAATATCTCGATTTCTCCAGAGAGATTATCATTCACACTGACTTGTTCGTCAGAGCCTACTCCACCGGTAACACACCGGTGTTTGTAGGATCACTTTTTCTTCTCTTTATTCAGGAAGTCAGATCAAATCCGGGTTGCGCAGAATCCATCTTCAACATGTTCAATCATGGTTTAATGGTTCTGAAAATTAGTGAAACTATTAATGGATGTGAAGGTTATACTGTATATAATTATTTAGACATATGTGTATCATTGTTAATTAAACTTAAAACTCTATTAGGGTTGGTTTTGATCAGAGATTATCTACTTATTGGTTTTCAGAAATCTGGTAGAGAGAACTTGCTCGTAGGGTTTAACCCACGATTTATTTTTCAGTTTATTAGAAGTTCCAGTCTTGAGGTTAAGGATCCGCAGTTGGGAGACTGTCATTCATCTATTCAGCTTGTGTACTATTAACTAGTATTGGATTATTGGATAATATTTTAAGGGGTTCTTGAATTACGGGAATCCCGAGTTGTAATTGTTGGAGAATTATTAATTAATAAAATATTTATTTATTAGTTTTCTTCAGCGGTTTATTTATTCTTTATTATTCATCTTTGTATTCTATGCTTGTTTGAAATACTTTAATTGTTTTGATATCCCTTAATTTTGTGCGTGGACTTGATCAACCCGTGTTCCGAAATTAGGGAGTATCACAATGACTCAGCATTTCTTTTCTACTTCCGTGAATTCTTTGTCTCATTTCGGTCTTTAGCCTCTACTTCTACCACTAAGGCTCTCTCCACTGCCTCCGCATACACCTTGATATTATGAGCTGTCACTGCTGGCCTTATATTGTAATGAAGACCATAAATGAACTTGTGAGTCCTTTCCGCCTCATATCTCACTGGTGGCAAAGCGAGAGAAAGAGGTGAACTTATTCTCGTACTCCGTCACCATCATGTTGCCCTGTATAAGGTGATCAAACTTCCTTTGTAGCTCCCTTCTCTTGGTCATTAGGAAATACATATTATAGAACATATTCTTATAAGTATTTCAGTCTATGGTCTCAATGTCATGTGTACTAGTAACCAAATTCCACCATAACTCTGCATCATTAGTAAAATTATAGGTAGCCAAAGTGATCTTCAAGCGATCATTGGGCACACCTATAGTCCGTAAGTGCTTCTCGACCTGGTCGAACCAATCATCTGCAACCATAGGGTCTAGACCACCCTCAAACATCACGTCCATAAGCTTCTTAAACTTGGAAATGAAGAACTTACGATTGCTCGCAGTTGGGGATCCAAAACTAGAATCTGCCCAAGTCAATTGGTTTTGGGGCACTTGAACCGGTTCGGGAGGCACTTTTTTTTTTCATGTATTAAAATTACAAAAAGTCCCTAAACACAATGTCATGTTCTTATTTTTATTATTATTATTATTGCCATAATTGGCCTCATCTTCTCTATCTCACGTTTTTTTCTCACTTTACATCTTTTTTATGGCATCCACAGTAATAAAAGCTTGTGAGGATTGAGAATTCTGTTCACAAATCAAAGATTGTGAGGGCTGAGAATTTTGTTCATAAACTTTGATCAAAGCTTGTGACGACTAAGAATTATTTTCATAAACTCTTATCAAAGTTTTCAACCAGTGAACATTGGGTATGATCTTTGATTGAAAATATTAATTCCAGCCACATGGCGAGAACGCGACAATAAGTTTGGACACGACCAAAGAATCATTGTGAGAAGTGGCTATGTATATGTACACACACGTGTGTGTGAACTTGCTTCAAAGGGTTTACGTTGGTGCACTTGTGTGAACGTTTGATTATTATTATTATTATTATTATTTTATTTTTTCTGAGTGTCTGCGGGGAGGCCGTGTTTCTGTGAACATTGCATTTAAAAGTCTGCAAAAGTTTTAAAACAGTGTAAGAATATTGGTAGTTCAGAAAATAGATAAGGGTATATATATATATATATTCCTTTTAGTCTTTGCGGCTAGAATTTGGTTCGAGTAAACTCTTGTTTTTTATTATGTTCTTTCACAATTGAGATTGGGGATCACACGAACTAGTGATGGATTGGAAACTAGAGGGAGAGAGAGCCGTGAAAGCTCTGTAGAAACTGAGAGATTTAAGTTAGAGAGAAAGGGAATGAGATAGAATTTTGAAGAATTACTAATAAAAGGGGTGGTTTACTTTTAATCGATTACAATTGTAGGAGAATCCTAATTAGTCAAGAAATTTGATTTAACTATGCATTCATGTAAATAGAATCATCGAGTTTGGGAATGACTACTGAGTGATACAACACAGTATATTGACACGGTATAACATATATAAATATTACATATAAATATATACGTCTCTCTCTTAATCATGATAATACAAACACTACAAAACCAAAAAAAAAAAAAAAACCCAAATCACAAACAAAAGCTTCACAGAGCCAACGAGGACATACATCCAGTTACTCAATTATAACACTGCTCTTCAAAGCCCACCGTGAAGCTTTTGCTTTTCCACAAGCCATTTTCTTTTTCTTGTTTAATTTTTAAAATCACTTTTGATAACATAACTTCAACAAGTGCAAGTTTTTAACATATATTTGCTTATGGTCATCAATAGTACAATACAAACTATAGTCAAAAGTTTAAAACAAAAAAATCTAAACAAAATTTGTTAGTCTCGCCATCCTCGGACATCATCAACAAACATGTAGACAACAGGCACCACACCATTTGATGACCTTGTCATCGTTTCAACCTAAACTACACCCAACATCATTAAAACAACCACAATGATATATCCAGTTTCACTTTTTTTACCGTCTAAATGTCAGCTGTGAGAAAATTCCCAGATATAGTAACCTGTGAAGAAACAAAAAATTCTGATGTCATAATTCGTTCAAAATTCGTTACTGGTCTGATACAAAATTCAAAATTATTGACAGAAAAGAAAAACAAAATTCTTATAATGCACCTTCTCTCCCAGTTTGAATGGTGGCAGACCCTTGTAAGGACATGTACTGCATCGAAAAGCATCGCCAAGTCCACACTGCATGTACAATCAAAACTTTCAGAAAAAAGGGAAGAAATAAAAAAAAAATTAACCCAATAGATGGCCCACAAAAAAAATGCAGGAGCCGAACTTGCATGGTAATTCTGACATTTTTAGGCAGTCTTGCTTGTACAGAGACTATATGAGAGACTATAGAGAGAATTGTATTGCTCCTTTGCGCAGGTATCACCTAAGTGAGAGACTATATGCATAATGCTTTAACAGGGATTTTTATCACTCCATTGCGGTACTTAAATCTCAGGCTATGCAACCTCATATAACAAAAAACAACGTACACTAATCCTAATTCACTCCAGAGAGGCAACCAATAAATAAATAAATAAAATCAATCAATATGTATGCATATAGTAGAACATACACTGCCGCATGCTGATTGAGGATTGTCTAGCTGGTCCATACTCAGTTCCAGCTTCTGCACTTTCTCCTCTGCCTCGGCCCTTCCACAAGTGCAATTTTTGCAAGCTTTCCTTGTGCTTCCAACTTCACAATCACCAACTGTGAAGAAAACAGTCAAAAAATATCATGCTGTATAAGTTTCACATATATGTCCAAAAAGTACCCAAAAAAAAAATCACAAATATTAAAACCAAAACCTGACATACCCAGTGGCATTTGGGGTTTCTTCAGATCCTCCTCGGTCAAGAGGCTATCCTCGTCAATCAGATCCATTTCATTGTCAATGTCTAATTTGGGTAAAATTTTTGTGGCCTTCTTCTTGATAGAGAAGGATGAACCAATCTTCCAAGAAGCCTTATTGGCTTTAATCTGTTGAGAAAAAGGGAAAACAAATTCAACATGCCATTTGTGAGATCATTTTATCTGAAGAAATGAAACATCGTCATTATTTCTAAAGATGGCAGAGAGGAACAAACACTATATGATTGGTTTTACCAGTACTCACAGACTATAAACACTATATGATTGGTTTTACCAGTACTCACAGACTATAAATTCCATTTGCGGAGTGAACAAAGTTAAAACCAGAAATACATAATCATCAATACATTCTCATTGCTAAAACCACTTTACAATAGAAAAAACATGGACATAATGATCCAAACCATGTATAACATGAAGTACAAATTTATACATAATTCTGGTTCTTGCTTTTTTAACTCTCACCAGACTAGTGATCGGTGGCGGAGCTAGAAATTTATTTTGAGGTGGTGACATATGATTAGTTGAAAGGATCATATTGTTTGGTCATGGACATACTACCTCACTAGCTTATGTGAGAAAGGACATTAAATTTTGCTATTTTTTTTCAGATCAATATTAGATTTGGGTCATGAGTAACGTTTTAAATAATTATAAAACTAAAATGGACCTAGACTTTTAATATACTGGAAATCCAAATACAACAATCATGCTAAAGATTAAGGAAAAATTATCATGGTCGTTATCACTGTAAAATAAGTAACCAATAACTTCATCTCAAACATTACATTACCAACAAAACAATTATTTTTAAATTGATCACTAAAAAAAATTAATATTCGCAACTCTATACTTCCGCAATTCACTTGAAATGAAAATGTCACAATTGGCTTGTAGGGTGTGTTGTTTTTTTAAAAAAATAATAATAATAAATAAAAATATAAAATTGTTGAGTGTGCTTTTGAAAGATAATTATTTATTTTTTATTTTTTACAAAAAAGTAAAATAAAGAGTACAACAGTGTAATGTAAATATCACTTCCCAGTCACTAAATCGTAACTTATCCAAAGTATGGAAGAGATTTTAATAATTTTCAAGGGTAACTTAATAGCTTTTTTAGAAACTTTTTAATCAAGTAAAATAAAGTAAAAAAATTGAGCATGGGCATTGTGGCTCCATCCCTGACTGAGAGACGATTCCTGTGGAGGCCAAGTATATATAGGGGAGCTTTACCAAAAATTCGGTGGGGGCATTAATAAAATTTTAGCAAAATCTACATATCTAATATAAATAAATAAATTGGTTGGAAAAGATGCCCCCACTCAGCCCTATGTCCCTTCTACCCATTATTTCTTCCACAAAGAAAAGGAGTGGGGGCTGGGTTGTGCTGGTAGTAAAAAGAAACACCACTCACCCCCAAAGACTGAACTTTAGATGGTACAACTGGTTTCGTTTGAACATCCTGAACATCTAAGAACCCAGCCACTAGTAACCTGCGCTGAAGAGAAGATGTTGCCTGCAAAAGACCCCAATATTATCACAAGTTGATATTTCACCAAAAAATTAAAATTTGTGTAATCATTGCATTTTGTGTAACAGTTGCATTACCGCTTTCCCTGTAGCTGACTGATCTGTAGCTAGAGAAGTCTGCTGAAGTAGGATTGTACCCCCAGGCTTCAACAATCTTGAGATTTCCTCTAGCAACTGAACACTGGGAAACTCAGATGATCTACAGATAGATACGACAATATCCACAGAAGATGAATCCAGGGGCAGCTGACCTAACATTAGTCAATCAAAATAAAAGACACATAAATAGATGATATGGATTGAAGTACATTCATTAACTGCAAATTTCTAGGGAGTAATTCTTTCTCTTCTTCTCAGCTGTTGATGGCATTTTGATAGTCATGCAAGGACTATTAAGAAACTAACATGCTGATTTCCAATGAATAACCAAATATCCAATAATATATAATCAGGACAAGATGAAAACTAGAGAATGGAGGAGGAAGGTAAGCAAGGGGTGAAAGAAATGTTGCATCTGCAGGTCACATAAATCATAAGCATGCAAATGTATATAAGAAAATTCTGCATCTAAAACATCGATTTTTTTTTGTTTTGTTTTGTTTTGTACCAATTGTGGTATGATGACCACCAAACTGCTACAAAAGTAAGTGTATGTTAGGCATTGCTGTAATTTCTAACAAAGCGCCTTTTAATCAAGACCCAACAGAAGTGTTGCCTTTTAATCAAGACCCAATGAAAGTGTTGCCTGTTAAAAAGTGTTAAAACATGGTGTCTGGGATGCAGTATCTAAAGCTCTTTTCTTCCATATACTCCTTCCATAAATTAAAAAACACCAAATTTGAGTTTCAGCTGGTTCTTTTGGTTTTCCACAGCAAAAAAGTGCTGCTTTAGAGTTGCAAAACACCAAACATGGCAAGTAAATTTAACAAATTGAAGCAATTTGTGGCTCTGAACCATATCCCCAAACATGCAGTCTCTCTGGGCTATGTCCACAACCATATTCAAAAATTGTTTAATCCTTCCTTTTCAAAATAGACAATGTAGTGCCTAAAAGAAACCTTCAATGTTGACTATAAAGCCATTGATTGCCTGCACTTTCCTGTGCTTCTCAAGCTCACCCATTTGTAAACTAATTGAAGCAATTTGTGGCTCTGAACCATATCCCCGAACATGCAGTCTCTCTGGGCTAAGTCCACAACCATACTCAAAAATTGTTTAATCCTTCCTTTTCAAAATAGACAATGCAGTGCCTAAAAGAAACTTTCAACGTTGACTATAAAGCCATTGATTGTCTGCACTTTCCTGTGCTTCTCAAGCTCACCCATTTGTAAACTATCAAAAAGAACCCAATGCCCAAATACTACATAATAACAGCAAACCCAAGGATGCTGCAAAAATTTGAGCATGCTAACTAGAGAGGAATCAAACCATCAAGAGTCATCCTGAAGCATAATTGTGAGCCCATTTCCACTGCCAAGTAATAGGAAATTCCAGTTCACGTCCTTATAGGCTTTCTAATAAGGATGCTACGTTGGATGATAGCAATAACTATAAAATATAATATTAATAATGAATGTGTGAGGGGAACACCTGGTATAGGCCCATTTCCACTGCCAATCTCACATTTGGCTACCATTACGTTTATCCATAGTATCAAGTCTAAGGTACACCAAGGAACAATAACCAAAATCCTTTGGCCCCGACAAGTAAAAGGAAATTCCAGTTCACATCCTTATAAGCTTTCTAATAAGGATGCTACGTTGGATGATAGCAATAACTATAAAATATAATATTAATAATGAACGTGTGAGGGGAACACCTGGTATAGGCGTATAAAATTAGAGAAAGTAGACCCAGGTAGTACGGTCACATTTATGGTAGACCTAATGATGCACCACCAGTCAGAAGAGGAAGTGTCGTTTGCCTAGAAGGTAAGCGACAGAGGCCGACCAAAACTTACATGGAAGGAAGTAATTAAAAACGATTTTAAAAATTAAATCTAGGGTAAGACATGGTATACAATAGGAAAGAATGGAAAAAGAGAATTCAAGTGCCCAACCCCATCCATATGGGATAAAGCAAGGACGATCATGATGATCCTTATAAGCTTTCTCTATATACATTTAGATAACCCACTAAATGTCTACTTGTGTCACATCAATGCACAACTACCCATAAGTAAATCCTCTGAAATTTGGCTTCCTACAGAAGGATCAGGCTGAGTGTACTTCTCTAATTGAGTTTATCACACACAAATAATAAATATCAAGGGTTCCTCGCCTTTCTGGTTTCAGGGAGATGAAACTGCCATTACCACTTCTTTCAATTGTAACTTGATTAAAAGAAACTTCACTTGCTAAAAAAAAAATTGATTAAAGACCTTAAAACCAACTAATGTAACTTGTCAAAAAAAAAAAAAAAAAAACAACTAATGTAATATACCTTAACGAAATCCCACCTCATACCTGGTTGTGCACAAGCACAACTATTCTTTCTGATAACATCCCATGTTACTTATGCAGATATGTGACTGGACACACATAAAAAGCTTAAGCAAAGCTATTTGTACCTGGGCTTTTATCACATACTAGCCCCTACATAACTCTTTTCAGAAAATGGGTTCTAGAAGAATTTCTAGATTGCTTACTCCCATACTTTTTTTTGATAAGTACAATTTGCTTACTCCCATACCTTCCGCTAATCTACACTTCCATCTCATCCATGAGGGTATTATACTAAAAAATTGAAGTTGTTTTCAAGATTGTTCATCTTTTCTACAAAACTCCAAATAAAAAAACATTTTGAAAACCAACATTGTCACTTGTCCTTCTAGTAGTTCCAAACTCATATAGGATGAGCCAACGATATAATGTATAACACAGTATCATCATCTGGTTGAGAAATTCAACTTTTTATATCCAACCTACTTAAAAAGAAAAATCTGCAAACCTTTAGCACTTCTAGTAGGTGAACCACACCACGTGGAAGGATCTTCAAACTAAAGCCAAGTCATTAAAAAATCTGGACAAGCCATGTAATCATCTTTATTTTTTCAACAATGGAACCAACAATCCCAATGCCCATTCTTAGATATAAATGCAATTTGATTGCAAAACTTTGAACCATATTAAGCAATGAAATGGATTTCATTATTATCATCTTTATCATATATACATAAATACACACACACACACACACACACACACACAAAGAGAATACTTGAGAGATGAAAGCAAAGATGATGACAGTTAAAAAGCTAAGAGTTCTTCAAAGTATTGATTGATCTTCACAAGTGTGAGTGCGCGAGCGAGAGAGAGAGAATGAGAGGAAGTGGACTAGGGCCCAAAAATCTAGTGGGGGCAGCTATATATAGTAGGGTTTTAGCAAAAATTTAGTGGGGGCATTTCCAAATTTTAACAAAACAAAATGTATGGGAAATAAATAGAAAAAATAAAATCAGTGGGAGCGGACCCCCCACTTGGCCCCACTTAGATCCGTGCATGATCATATTGATGGCGGATATAATGGACACAGGGCATAGAGTAGTGCTGGACATCATAGCAATAGTGGTGGCTGACTGTCACGGCAGTAGCTGTAGCACAAATAGTGATGGCAACAATGTAGTGCCAATGGTAGTTTACGGTGATTGCATTGATGGTGACAGCAGAAGCAGAAATGTAGTGGTTGCAAAGGTAGAGGTGTATACCCCAACACTGCTAGATGCTAGAGAAGTATAATATAGGGTAAAGTGCATAAAACTCCCCTTAACTATACTCTCTCTCTCAAGAAACCCCCCTAAACTTTTATTTTTACAGTTAACCCCCTAAACTATTTTGTTTTTTGCAAAAAGAACCCGATTGTCACTGTTCCGATGATATAGTAACGGTATGTTGACATGTGATGAACCCATTCATTTTAAAATACATGTTTGCCCTTAAAACATTCATGATCACCACGTCAGTAATCTATTTCAGTATCACAGTCCTCTCCTCTCTCTACTTGGGCATTGTTCAAACACTCAACACAGTCCTCTCCTCTCTACCTGGGCATCGTTCAAACACATTTCTCCGAAGTTGCATATTTTCCATCTCTCTTACTTCCAATTTTCCTCTCTCAACCTTATTTGCTGGTTTCCATAGAGCTAAAGGAGAGGAGCCCAATCCTTGAACAACAATGGAAGAAGAAGTCATCTCAAACCCTAAGCGCATCCCAATCAAAACTACATTTTCCGATGGCCATACAAAAATTATAAATTTCTATATCTATCACTCAACAACATAAATAGCTACCTCATTCCCAGATCTACACACCAAGACTCCAAATAATCAATGAATTAGAAAATGGGTTTCTGATATTACTCCCCAAAATCCTATATTTTTGTGCTTTTCAGCCTCTTATAGGGTTTGTCCTACCCAAGTTGGTGAGTTGATTCGTCCAACAGAAAACCATCAAAATCAAGCAATTCTCTCATCAGTCTCTCACAATTGCTCCAAAATCTTCCATTCTCGTGGTTTTTTTTTTTTTTTTGTAGAAATCTAATTGGTGATATCCAAAGGATGCAACTGGGCAAGTAACCCATCAAAGAAAATAAACCCAGACAACACCAACGCGTCAAAGAAAATAAACCCAGACCACACCAACCTATCATCACCTTCAATTCTCCAATCAAAGCCCTTTTTCCCCCCCTAAATCTTCAAACCCACCAACCGTAGACAGGTCAATCATGGCGGCGTCAGAATCCGAAGATTCATGCAGAAACAATACCCATGGAATGTCGGAGAGGACAATCAACAACCACAATAGCAAAATCCAGAGCATCATTCTATCAATGATTTAATTGAGGTTGATTTCGTAATTAATTTGATTTGATTAGCCAAATCAGGTCTGGAGAACAGCAGTTGTCGCCGGTGATGGTCGTGGGCTTGTTCGCAAAGTCGGCTGCCAGAGAAGAAGAGTGTACAGAGAGAGAGAGAGCGAGCCTAAAGAGAGTTTTATGTACATATAGCGTTAAAATGGAGGAGTTTTTGGTGGTGATTGTGATAAAGTGATGTGTTGCACTGTTATTGGGTGCTGAGATTGTATTGGACACGTCATGGACAACACCTACTAAGGCAATGAAACTGCTCCTTATATTAAGGGTAAACTGGTAATTTAATATCTCCGATAACCTCTTGCACCGGCAACTTTTTGCTTTGTCCTTGAATTGCACATTTTATATAGTTCAGGGAGCATAACTTAGTTCAGGGGGGTTTTGTGCTTTTAGTTAATAGTTGAGGGGGGTTTTATGCACTTTACCCTATAATTTATAGAAATTATGTGGTGCTACTGTCCAGCCCTAGGGTTACTTGATTTCATAATATTACTTGCTAACCAATTTAGCATGCATGAAACATTAAATAGTAACAGAAAATTGTAATCAAACAAAACAGTTTTGCTCAATTAAATTCATTACACAAAACAAAATCGATATTCAAATTATAGAACAAAACTGAAAACATATAAGCACTGGGGAGCAAGGGTTAGACTACAATATAGTGGGGTTGGAAAAAAAAGGGTCAACCAACCAAATACTCATAAATAAAGATCTGACCAAAATATAAAATTGTGAAATTCATGGACCCCAGACCTTGAAAAATTTTCACGATTAAGGCAAAAGCTGAAGAATATATACAGGAAAATTGAGTAAGGAAAAAGGCGAAAGTGACTAAATTTTAAAAATAACAAAGCACGGGCTTCCACAATTATGTAACAAGCAACATCAAGAGATCTTTTGACAAACAATAACCATAAGAGGAGAAGAAGAACAGACAGAATCAGAACCAAACAAGAAGAGCAGTGCGAAGAGAAATTGCTACCACATTTAAGTTTCCAACTTTTCCAACCAACCTCACACACATGTTGGAACTTGGAATTAGGTTAAACAATCTAAGATCCTAATCCAAGGTATTCCCGGTGATTGCATATCAAGATCCTATATATTCCAAACTACTAACATTGTAATAAAAAATTCACTAATTTTAGAACTCCAAACTCAACATGTTAGGTGTAGCCAACTAAAATCTTTTCCAGTAATTACTGTGTCGTCTCACTATAATGGTTCCGTAAGTAGGAATGTCTTGGAGTGGTGGTTGTGCTGATGATGATTCATGGTAGTGATGGTGTTAGTTCATTATGTTAATAGTGAGCATGAACATAATGATGTCGCTAGTTTGTTGGAACGTAAAAATATTCTCTTCTAAGAAGAAACTTTTTGCTTCCCAACAGAGTGGTAGTAGCACAATGAGAAAATCTCTTTTTTGTTCTGCCTTCTTTGTCTTTTTTGGTCTCAACAAAGGAAAAATGAGAAGAAAGGAAAAATAAAAATAAAAATAAAAAAGGTACTTTCAGACACTATCAAATGATTAAATAGTGTTTGCTAGATATAGAACTCAACTAACACCACCACCACTCTGCTATAAAGCCTTTGACCTGACCATTTGAGGTTGGCTGCACAAGTTCTAGTTTTTCGTTCTGCTTTATCTAGGACCATAAGTTTGGACAACCCATACACTGCTCTAAAAAAAATGAAAAACAAATAGGAAAAGAAAACCTCCCATGGGGTGCAGCATTTTCACTATTCTTTTAAGACAAACAAGTCTGTATATAACATTGTTAAGGATATAAGGCACCCAACCAAAAAAAATAATAATAATAATAATAATAATTCAAAGTAGAGCAATAGAGAATATACTTAGTGAAGACGCCTGAGTAATAATGAGAGGATCACTCTGTTCAACTCCTTCATCGTTGATCAACCTGATTGCATTCAAAACTTCCCTAGTAGATACAAATTCATGATCTGTAAGCGCCAAGACACTATCCTGCAACATTGTGGTGCCCTATAAAAGAACGAAAAATTAGTTCAAACAGCATGTTGTCCCAACCTGAAATGATGATTGATAAAATTATATATTAAGTGAAGACAACTCATTATTCAAAATTCATCTCCCATATATAAATATTACTGATGGCCTTATATAAGCTTATTTCCTGGTCCTTGAAAAAACTGATTCACCAACACATTTAGTTAGGAAGATGTAAATATAATCTTAAAAATAACATTGCTTTATAAAATGAAAAGGAAATATTGACATGTAATACAAAGATACTGGTAAAAACAGCTAGCTCTATGACAAAATCCCTATCATGAGCAGGCATGTTATCTTCTTCTTAACAAAACAGAATGCTGTAAATATGAACACTTGTTATTTCTAATTGTCATGACAAACGCAACAAGGAAAAAGAAAAGTAGAAGTATCATCTAATGTGAATAGAAGACCATGAAGCACAATTGGTGAAGATATTTCGATCAAGAAAATAAAGTGGTGCACATGGTATAAGAGCAATTACAAGATTCTCTAATAATAAACTAAAGAATCAAGAAACAAAGTTCAACATTATGATTTTTTTTTTGGGAGGTAAGTTTAATATTGTGATTACAAAAGCTAACTTTTTCAGCTCTGAGTTTGAGGTCAGGCAATTTTTCCCATTTCCTCTAACAATAAAATTTTCAGGTTAGGCAATTCTTACAGCTAGTAACATTTGTTCGTAGCGTAGCAGCCAGATGCAGGTGTATATTTTCCTCAATGATGAAATGGTGTGGTAACCATAACCGGTTCTTAAATTGGTTACAACAACAAAATCCGTACTTGGTTTCTGTCTAAAGTTGTTACATGAATATAATATCCCTCCTTGATGATCAAAGCAATAAAAATCCAGTGTTGTCACAGTTATCCATAGTTTACAGAAAGAAGTATCTGGAATCCAACTTTTACGTCAATTTAATTCTCAAAAATTTTTAAAAAATCAGTTGAACTAAACTAAATAAATAATCCTATCAAAACCCAAGAAAAAAAATTTAAGGTTGGAAAATATATTTTATTTTCCAACCTTAAAACAAACAACATTCAAAAAGGAGTCCATCATAATTTTTATTTTTTCCCTAAAAAAAAGGAATGACTGCAGATATACTATGGTTTCTATACCTTCCTCTCCAAGGTTCGTATAGATAAAAATAAAAAATATATATACATTTCAGATCAAAATAGCTTCAACTACAGAAATTAATCTCCAAATCCAGAGAAGAAAAATAAAACTTTTCTGTGCCGTGTACTTCAAAAATGAGAAAATTTTCTAAGAAAAACAAAATATATATTATTGATAAAGTTAAAGATCAAATTAGGGACTCACCATAACAACAGAAGATCTCCAAACAAGCACGAAGCGTACAGATCGATGACGATGAGCGGTTTCGCGTGTAGCCGACTTTGTCCCTCTTTCTTTCTCTCTCTAGATTCGTTTTGTATATTACGAAACCCGCGGTTCGAATAAATAGTGTAAATGAGAAGGCGACCGCTATGTGGGGCTGATTGGGTGTGTCGCTGGCACATAAAAACCGACAACGGATGCGGTGACGTGGCTGCTAAAAGTTAATGAAGCACGTGGTAGTTTCGTGTTTTAGTTGCGGTCTGACGTGTTGTGAACAAGGAGACCGTGTGCGACCTGTGCTTATAGAACGCCATGGAATTTCCATTCGTTTACCAAGAAAATATACTAGGAAAATACTTTTTTAGAAGGTGTATTGTATACTTTCTCTTTTATTTTTCTTTGTCTACGTTTTTTCATGAGTAAAAAAAGAGGTGTATAAAAAATCATTAGAACATTCAACCAAATTGATGTTTCAGACCCTTCACGGTTTGATTTTGATTCCAAAATGAAAGAACTGTTATATTGCCATTCAATTTTTGATTTGAGTTGTTTTAGGGTGTGTTCAATAGAAACTTATTTGGTGATATCTATTTGTTGTAAGATTTTTAAAAGTAAAATATAAAATATATTTAATAAACACTTTAAAATTAAAAAATAAAAATATGAAAACATATTTGGTGATATTTTGAAAAGACAAAACATAAAAATTAGTATCTTGAGAACCTTTCAACAGTAGACAGAGTGAGAATTACTTGTATTGGACCCAACCCGACCCAAGTTCATCATTCCTGGGTTTGACAAGTAAGCCAACAATAGCTAGACTTGATGCCCAACAGCCCATGCCCAGCCCAATATGGTTCTTTTTATAGATCTACTTATTTGGTTCAAATTTATAAAAATAATTTCTTATTTTTCAGATAGTTGAAAACTAGATAACAATACAGAAATTTCTCTAGATGGCATTTTTCTAAAAATTCAGTTAAAAGGGGAAAAAAATAATAATAATTTGTTTTCAAAAAATAGTCTTGTGAAATTTCTTAAGAGAGAAAAGAAAGAGGGAGACGAACCTCCACGTCATCTTAGGTGGTATGATTTTAGAACGAATTGTGTGTTGTTGAATTATGTGTTTGGCTTACCAACGGGCCAGGCCTAACGGTATCAGCATCTTACTTTCCAAAAAGAGGTCAGGGGTTCAAGTCTCAGAAGAGACAAGTGTGTGTGAGTATCAATTTTAAAAAAAAAAAAAAATGTGTATTTGGCTTCGTTTGTTACATCCAAAAGAATGTATTTTCATTGAAAGGATGAGGCCTTCAAATGAAAAGAATGAGAGGTTGTCTAAGGCGGACAATGCTTGGATCCTATTCTGAGAGGATGAAGTTTATTCTCCCAACTAATGTGGTCTAATACAATTTAGACATCTATTTAAAATTTAAAAAGTTGGCATTACCCATCTTCCTTATAGGCTAAATTGAACCTAAAACTAAAACTCGATGAATTTTCTAAAATTTCCAACTTCCAAGTTAGATCTTTCTCTTTAAGCTCATCTCTATCCTCCTCCCCCAGGACTTCTCCCACTAATGGAAGAAAACTCAAGTTGAACGTCGATGCAACCTTCTCCAACCTCTCCAAATCCGCAGGAGGTGGCTTCATTCTTCGAGACTCCAAAGGAAGAGCTATTAAGGTAGGTAATCCATTTTCATGTGTAACATTGCTAACCCAAAAGTTGTCGAATCCTATTCTCTTAGAGGAGGCATCTCTCTTCTCAGCAATTGGGGCTATGATCAAGTGGACATTGAAGGTGATTGCCTTAACCTTTTCAATCTCTCCCCTTTTTAATTGCCTATCTAAGGTCCTAACGGATGACATTACTTCTATCTTTGATCACCACAAAGGCTTCTCATTATCTTGCACCCCTAGGTGTTGCAATACAATGGCCCACCAGATCAATAACTGGGCATTGCATTCCCATTAGAGTGATTTTCACTAGCCAATTTGGCCTTGTTGGCTGAAGCCTCCCCTTTTGTTCCTTCCTAAGTTTTTTTTTTTTTTTTTTTTTTTTTTTTTTTTTTTTTTTTTTTGTGGTTTCCCAAACCTAACCTGACGTGACTCTCTTCTCATCCTCCATTGCTCGCTATCACCCCCTTCCTCCACTACTCCATTATTTAGTGAAACCCTAGTATTCCAGTGGTTTGCATGTTCCTTTGTTTTTTTTATGGGTAAAGTACAGCAACACCCCCTAAAGTTTGCTAAAAGGACACCTAGATACAACTTACTCTATTTTGGGATAATGACACCCCCTGATGAGATTTGTAAGCCAAACAGAGCCTTAAAATATGTGAAAAGTCAACATTAACCTTCATTATTTTATTAATTTTAATTATAAAATATCAAAGTAATGAAATGACCAAATTACCCTCCTGGTCTGAGTACCCAATCAATCCTACAACCAGATTTTGGCGTCGCCACAACACCAAACTCCACAACCACCAACACATACCCGCCCCCACAACCACCACCATCCCTACCCCCAAACCACCACCACCATCTCTACCCCAACAACCACCCCTGCGTATTCTGGCATAATCTAGCACCGATACCACCACCATCCCCATCTCCACCCTCACAACCACCACCATTAACTCATTGCCCACAATAAAATCAACACCACAACCCTCACTTATTCACTATCGTCATAGTTACTGCACTTACCTCATCGGCAACTATAGGCTCCATGGATTCCAACGACCCCATCGATTCCAGCAGTGATCTGCCATGTGTTTGTGGAGGTAAGGATCGATTGCGCTAGAAATTTGTGGCGGCAAAGTCGGAGGATTGGGCTTAGTTCTACAGATTGTCCTCATCGGCGAATCAATCTGTAATATTGCTGATTTTTGTCATTTTTCATTTTTTGGAATTTTTTGATTTTTTGAGGGTATTTTAGACTTATCTCGTTTTGCGTGCCGGACACCATGGGGTGTACCGGGTGTGTCAGTGTGTTGATTGGGACATTTCCTTGAGTTTAGGACTCTTAGAAATGCATTGGTTGTCATTTCAGCATTATTCTATTTTTTGGACCGGGAGGTCCCATGTGGGACCTGCTACCGGGGTTGTTGTGCACGAGGGCTGTGTCACGGATCCGTTGCATTTCATACATTATTTTATTATGCATATTTATTTTAATGTATAATTATTGTGTGGAGGTAAAATGATTGGTGTGTGTGTGTATATATATATATTAATGTTAAAAGTTAATAAGATATTTTTTTTAAATCGTGGGACCCACAAGCTATATCATTTTAATGGCCATAAGGCCATTTTGGTTGATCATTCTTTTTCCCTTTCTCTTTTCATGCAGCCTGCTTCTCTCATTCTCTATTTTTTTTTTTTTTTTCCCACAAGTTTAAACATTGATCTAGAGATTTCCTTTAAGAATTTGGTTTTGCCGCTTAAGGCCAAGTTGACGAGCGCGTCGAGGCCGGCGTTTTAATCGAAGCAAAGTGTCATTTGGCCACCATTTGGGATTTTTAATTTTGGATATTTTTTAGGCTTTTTCTTCAATTTGAAGTAGGGATGCTCTAATCCATGACTTCTTTGGTTTCTTATGAATTTTCCCCTTGAAATTTGACTCTAAGCATGCTTAATTTTAGTCATCATATGTTTGGTTGTTTTGGTTGTATCTATGCAAGATGACAAATGTGTTGATTAAGTTCATAAACTTGATTATTTATATTGAAATGAAGGAGTATGCTTAGGAATGACATGTTGTATGCTCCATGATTTTTAATTGTTATATAAAATGATACTATAGTATATGAAAATGAATGTTTAGAAATCCCTATTAAATTGTGATGATGATGTAAATGGAATATGTAAAATCCTATGGTTGAATTGATATTTGGAAGCATGTAGCATACATGCATTCATTGAGAAAGAAAAAGGGAGAAGTGTTTTGAAAAGTAAAAGAAATTATTTTTGAGAAAAACGTTTTGAAAAAAATGTTTGCGAAAACCCGGATGCCTAGGAGTCGCCTAGTGGTTCGTGACGTTAGTGTGGTCTAGAAAGGTTAGGGAAAGACCCTAGCGAGGTTGAGCTACCTAGGCCTGCAACGCCTTGGAGTTGCCATGTGGTTGGGGATAACTAGCCAATTCTCGTCTCGTGACGCCATGGAGTTGCCATGGGTTGGACTGCACTAACAGTTTGAAAAGGTGAAACGGAATTGTTTCGGAAACGGGGAGTGACATTGGCATGACATTGCATTTCATTGACATATGTTGTATATTTAGTGGCCGCATGACTTGTATACATTCTTGATGTAGTTGTTGTTGCTTTGCTTATTTCCCGAGGTATGATCCCGTTTACTTGTGCTCTATTCTTTGTGTGGATTCACGGGGTCATAAAATGTGTGTCTTAGACACTTTTTACTGAGCGGTTGGCTCACCTCATCATATTATTACATTTTTCAAGCCACGGGAAGGAATTGGCCGACGACGCTCCTCCATAAGTTTGAATGGGTTAGTGAACAGTTTTGACATATTTTGTAACTATGATCTCATTTATTCTTATTACTTATTATTTATTTATTTATTTTTTATTATTATTATTTATAAACCTTGGGATGACACGTATATTATGTATTGAAATAGGAAAGGACGGTAGTGTCCCTAATTGATCTCGGGTTCGGGTAAAGACCTGATTAACGAATTGGACCCTCGAGTTCGGGTCGTTACAACAGTGGGAACGATTTGCTATGGTGGCAGCGATTTATGGTAGCGGCATTATAGTTGTCAACAATATGCAGTGATGATGGCGACAATATCCATTCACCATTGTCGCACTTATCTCATCAGTGACTATAGGGCTCTATTGGTCGACAGAATCGAAGGTGGGCCGTGAATCTAGAGTCGGCCAGTCGGCCTCATTGGATTCGAAGGATGAAGGTTCGTTGATGTAGTGGCGGAGGATGACGTCGACAGCCTGACGGTTTTTGGTGGTTGGATGCCTCTGTTAGGGTTCCGTTAGGACTGGCAGAGTCGATGATGCCGATGGTGGAGGAGAAACAGCTCGCTGTCGTCGCCGCTGCCTTGTGTGTGTGTGTATATATATGTATCATATATATTTATATATATGTGTGTGTGTTGGGGAAGAGGAAGAGAGAACAGAGAGGAGAGAAGAAAAGAAATGGTGGATCTGAGGTTAGAAAGGTCATTTCAATATTCAAATTGGTCAATATAAAAGTCAAAGGACAAAACTGTCAATTTATTACCATTGGGGTGTCTTTGGTAGCTGTATCAAACTTGAGGGGGCGTCTTTGTCTCAAAATAGGTTACGTTGTATTTGTGTGTTCTTTTGACAAATCTCAGGGGTGTTATTGTACTTTACTCGGTTAAGTTGTATCTGTGTGTTCTTTTGACAAACCTCAGAGGTATTGTTGTACTTTACTCTTTTTTATTTATAATTTTGGCCTTTTGGACTGGTAGAGTGCCCTAAAAAAAAAAAAAAAAAAAACCAAGGACAATGCCCATGGTTTGATTTCATTGCTCTTTTGGTAAAAGCTGGAATGTAAATAATATTCTCTTCTAAGCCAAATTTTAGCAAAGAACCTATCTTATTTAATATTATATATTTATATCTGTATTCATGAGGTTGTATTTTTAATTTTGCTTTTGTTGTGGTAATCATCTTGAATAAAGAACAGGAGACTAAACAGATTGGTTGAGTGACTAAAGTAGTGGGTAGTGGAGGATGGCCCGCGGTAGCGAGTAGTTGAGGTTAGGTAAAAAACACTTTGGATTTACGTTTAACCATTAAAAAGATGGTAATACCCATTTTTTTAAAATTAAATTTTAAACATGTTGAAATTTTATTGGACCACATCAGCTAAGAGGAGGAATTTCATTCTCCTTAGAAAAAAATATATATTTTTTACTTGAAAAAGAAAAATAATTTTATGGAACCAAAAGGGCACTTATATGTAGAGGGGTTATCATAATTTTTCTAAAAAAAATAAAACTATCCCATGATTCCTGTTAGCATGAAATGTATTTTCACAATTCACACCCATTACCATCAAAAACTTCAAAGCATTTAAATAGAAACCCAACTTAATTGAAATTTGCAATAGTATTTCTTAGTAACTCTTGAAAGGCTGGGTTGTGATACAGGGTCTAAAGTCGGACACATCCAATTACATACATCAAAATCGGATTTGTGGACTACTTATCATTTTCCTAAATAAAAAATTAATTATTTGAATGAAACAATCATCTACAAATAGACTTCACATCAAAATGAGACAATTTCCTCTCCTACAGAGAGATTGCAGTGTCAAAAATATTATTTTCCCATAATTTAAATCGAAGTGTCAAAAATAATGCCACAAAGCAACCAATGGAACACAATTTAGCTATATAAAATCTATCTATACTATTCTAAAAGTGTAAGGAATTTATCAACACTTTTGATTTTTTTTTTTTTTTTTTTTTTCACATAAAAAAGTTCATTAATCTATAATAATTCATACCGCACATGAACATTAATTCCAAAAAAATATAGCACTTCCCACATATAAATATACACATGCATATTTAATTAGTGAAAAACTTTTCCTTTTCCTTGAATAGAAAACTGATAATGTGTTTAAACTTTTATTTATCTCTTTTAAATAACAATTTATTTTAGTTAATCATTATTTTATTATTTTAGGAAATTTTCTGTTAAAATGCATATTCACGACATATATATCTATATCTATATATATTTATATATAGTAAGATTATAACATAGAATGATAAAAAAAAAAAAAAAAAAAAAAAAAAAAAAATGAAAGGAATTTCTTAACACTTTTGATTTTTTTTTTTCACATAAAAAAGGTTCATTAATCTATAATAATTCATACCACATGATAGGGAAAAATAACCCTAGACTATCTTGACTTAACGAAAAAGGTAATTAATTATTGACCGGCCACCAGATTTCTTCAACTCTCAGGTGATAATATCTCGTTATCAAGGATAACCATTTCTACTAGATAAGTATGATGACAAATCGTATCAAGGATAGAATTTGTCATGGGGTAAGTTCTAATCTTATCAAGGATAAGATTTCCACGAGATAGGCTCCATAGGCTAAGGACGATAAAATTCCCTTATCAAGAATAAAGGAAGTGACTATAAATACAAAAACGACTCGGGAACAAGGTACACACACAAAAACTCCTACTAAGCAAATTACGATTAAAATTCTCTATCGTTACTAACTTTATTGTCGGAAGGTCAACGGCTGGCACCACATCGGTGTTTGACTTTGCCATCCTTGTTTTGCAGGAAAAGGTGTCGTACTAGACCGAGGTGAATTTCAACCTCAACAGTTGGCGCCGTCTGTGGGAACGACGATTCCCTTGAATCGATTTATTACTCGTTGGGTATAGACGTTTGCGGTCCGGTATGATTACCGAAGGAACACCGTCGCAGGGATCTGGTCAAAGGGAAGAGTCGGGTGAAAACCTAGACATCCCAAATGACCAGACGCGGTTTGCAGCGTTGGAACTGCAGGTCCAAACTCTGAATCAGGGTATGGACCAGTTGATCCAACAAAATGCAGCATTCTTGCAACACCTTGTTCCACCGGTTCAACAGAGCTTGCCACGCCAAGACCTCTCGAATCCAAACAGGGGTAATGGGAATCTGGAAAAGCAGGATACTCATCCTCCCCAACATGAGACCGAAGTTGAGCAAAGCCAGGTGGGAAACCGACATAGAGAGGTGATCCACCCCTCTTTTCCACGGAGTTCTCGACCCCATGAAGACACGACTGTCATTGAAAAGACCGAGGAGATTTCCCACGTTGACCTAGAGATGCAGGATCTCAAGGCAAAGATGGAGGGTGTGATGCAGGCCATGAAGGGAAAAGGCATTGCAGCTATAGATGGTTTGGTACAGAAGACCAATTTGCCATTCAGCCCCTCGGTTATGAAAAGCCCTTTGCCAAGCAAATTTAGAATACCTACAATTGAGAGTTTCGACGGAACTAAAGATCCCCTCGACTACTTGGAGACTTTTCAGGCGCTTATGCACCTGCACGCGATGCCGGATGAGATCATGTGCATGGCTTTCCCAATGACTCTCAAAGGATCAGCATGGGTATGGTCCAACAAACTAAAGCCAGGAACCATCGAAACCTTTGAAGAATTGAGTAAGGGCTTTGTGGGCCATTTCATTGCTGGCCAGAGGCATAGAAGGCCGGCTACCCACCTCCTTACTGTGAAGCAACAGAAGGGAGAGTCACTGCGAGATTACATTAGTCGTTTCAACACGGAGATGTTACAGGTGGAGGAAGCGGATGACAAGGTGGCCCTAGCTGCCTTCATGGGAGGACTCCAAACCTCAAGATTCCTCTTCTCTTTATCAGAGGAACCTCCTACTAGTATGGCCGAGTTATTGGTTCGAGCTAAAAGACATATGAATGCTGAAGATGCAATGATTGCGAGAAATGGAAAAGAAGGGGAGGATAGGAAGTCAGACAAGAAAAGGCTGGCCCTGACAATCAGAGATGAAAAGGAAACCAAGTATAAGAAACCCATGGTCAACCAGAATGAAAGGGCGTCTCGCTATAAAAATGCGGAGAGGTATACAAATTACACTCCTTTAAATATGTCGATAGATCAAGTTTTCCTGCAAATCCAGGATGAGCCATATCTGAAGTGGCCACCGAAGTTGAAGTCAGATCTGGCAAGGAGACCTCGTGATAAGTATTGCTGGTTCCATAAAGACCATGGGCACACTACAGAGGATTGCTTCGACCTTAAGGATCAGATTGAGACTCTAATCCGAAGGGGGCACATGCAAAAGTTTATTGTGGGGAATGACAGAACCGACATTAACCCACTAAGAGCAGGCCGAGACAACCACCCTCCTGATCAACAACCAATAAGAAAGATCAGGGTCATAGTCGGGGGGTGTGCAGGAGGTGGAGAATCGAGCTCAGCCCGTAAGGCCTATGCCAGGAGAATGTGAAGCTCATCTGAGGTGTGCGAAGTAGGAGTACAGATTCAACATCGAAAGATGCCTCGTTTAGGTGATCCAGTTATTACATTCTCAAATGAAGACATGAAGGATGTGCAGTAACCTTATGACGACCCTCTTGTCGTCACCATGATGATCGCTAACTATAATACTCGGCGAATCTTGGTAGATAATGGAAGTTCAGCTGATATCATTTTTCTTGATGCATTCAGCAAGATAAAGATTGGTAAGGAGAAACTTAGACCTACTAGATCACCATTGGTGGGATTCACGGGAGACAAGGTCTATCCTCTAGGAGCGGTCATCCTTCCTGTCACTGCAGGAACCAACCCAAAACAAGTCACTGTCATGGTAGATTTCCTGGTGGTGGATTGTCCATCTGCTTACAATGTCATCCTAGGAAGAGCGACCTTAAATTCGATGAGGGTTATCATTTCGACTTATCACCTATTAATGCGCTTCCCTACCAAGCATGGTGTAGGCGAACTAAGAGTAGATCAGTCCATTGCTAGAGAATGCTATGTTGTCTCTCTCAAAGAAAAGAGGCAACAGGAGGCTTTGATTGTCGATGAAGTTGAAGAGAAGGAGCAAGACCGGGCTAAGCCAATCGAGGACTTGGTGGAGATATGCTTGAATGACACTGACGTAACAAAAAAGGTGAGGATATGGTCTCTGTTCCCCTCAGATTTCACAAATATTCTTATACAGTTCCTCAGACAAAATCAAGATGTATTCGCTTGGTCACATAAAGACATGCCCGGTATTAATCCAACTACGATTGAGCATCGATTAAACACAGATCCTACATTCAAACCTATCAGGCAAAAATGAAGAACATTTGCCACGGAAAGGAACATGGCTATATCAGAAGAGGTGAATAAGCTTATGAAAGCTGATTTCATCCAAGAGGTTCATTATCCCGACTGGTTGGCCAATGTTGTTTTGGTAAAAAAGGCCAATGGAAAATGGAGGTTATGCGTAGACTTTACCGATTTAAATAAGGCATGCCCCAAAGACAGTTTCCCTCTGCCAAGAATTGATATGTTGGTAGAAGGGACAGCTGACCATGAGCTGCTCAGTTTTATGGATGCATACTCGGGGTATAACCAAATCTCAATGCACACACCAGACAGAGAGAAGACCTCTTTCATCACAAATAGAGGTTTATATTGCTATAAGGTAATGCCTTTTGGGCTAAAAAATGCTAGTGCAACATATCAGCGGCTCGTAAACCTGATGTTTAAGGACCAAATCGGAAGGAATATAGAAGTATATGTGGATGACATGCTCGTAAAAAACTTGAAAGCTTAAGACCACCTAGCTGATCTACAGGAAACGTTCCAAGTCCTCAGGAAACACCAGATGAAGCTCAACCCAAGTAAATGTGCCTTCGGAGTCTCCTCTGGGAAATTCCTCGGTTACATGGTAAGTAGAAGAGGGATAGAAGCTAACCTTGAGAAGGTTCAGGCGATTCTCAACATGCAGTCTCCAGCATCGACCAAGGAACTTCAAAGATTGACAGGAAGGATCGCAGCTCTGAACAGGTTGATTTCCAGGGCGACCGATAGGTGTTTGCCTTTTTTCCGTGTACTCAGGAAAGCTTTTTCATGGACCCCTGAGTGCGAGCAAGCTTTTACAGGGCTAAAGGAGTATCTCACTTCACCACCATTATTGTCGCGGGCGATGCAAGGAGAACAATTGTATTTGTACTTGGCGGTTTCTCCGTCGGCAGTAAGCTCGGCCTTAGTCCGCGAAGAGGATGGAAACCAGAAACCGGTATATTATACTAGCCGTGCATTCAGGGGGCGGAAGAAAGGTACCCAAGGATAGAAAAGTTGGCATTTGCTCTAGTTATCTCTGCGAGGAAACTCAGGCCTTACTTCCAAGCTCATACAATAATAGTATTGATGGACCAACCACTTAGGCAGGTTCTCCGCAAACCTGATACTTCAGGGCAACTCATGAAGTGTCAGTAGAACTTGGAGAGTTCGAAATCCAATACAAACCCTGAACAGCCTTAAAAGCCCAGGTACTAGTAGATGTTATAGCGGAATTCACACCAGAAGATGGGCCTGAGCATGCTGCAAATGAGCAGGAAGAAACCGAATCTACTTGGACGTTATATGTGGATGGGTCCGTCAATGCCCGTGCAAGTGGGGTAGGGTTAGTAATTATCTCCCCGAATGGGGAATACATCAAATATGCACTCAGTTTTGGTTTTAAAGCAACCAACAATGAGGCAGAGTATGAAGCCCTCTTAGCAAGCCTCAGGATGGCGAAAGCTTTGGAAGTTGAACGACTAATAGCATATACTGATTCTCAACTAATAATTGGACAAGTCCAGAGGGAATATGAAGCCAAGGATGAGAAGATGAAGACTTATTTACATAAGATAGAGGATATTAAGGGTTTTTTTTTAAGAAGTTTTCTATTCACCGGATTCCCCGAGAAGAGAATGAGCAGGCAGACGCCCTAGCTCGACTGGCAACCACAGAGGAAGATAAAGCCATACCTGTGGGATATTTGGATGAGCCTAGCACGGTCTGGGATTGGCCACAGAAAATACACCAGGTGGCCCATGGTATGGAGTGGGCAGAACCCATTATCAGGTACATTGAGAATGAAGAGTTACCCCAGGACCGCATGGAAGCACGAAAGATCAGGATGCGTGCGGCAAAATATTCCCTCATTGATGAGGTTCTCTACAAGAAGGGATTTTCTCTACCCTACTTGCGTTGTGTCTCCATTAATGGGCAAATTACATTCTAAAAGACATACATGAAGGCTTTTGTGGAAATCATGCTGGGGGCAGATCATTAGCGCATAAAGCTATCTGACAAGGATACTTTTGGCATACTATGAGGACAAATGCACCTGAGTTTGTGAAGAAATGTGACAAGTGTCAGAGATTCGCCAATGTCCCAAAACAACCAGCAGAAAGTTAACCCCTCTTACAGGGCCGTGGCCTTTTGCCCAACGGGGGACGGACCTCATCGGCCCCTTACCCCAAGGGAAGGGACAAACTAAATACGCAATTGTGGCTATCGATTATTTCACCAAATGGGTAGAAGCTGAGCCATTAGCTCATATTGGAGCGAATGAAGTAAAAAAGTTTTTCTGGAAGACAATAATCTGCAGGTTCGGAGCACCAAGGGTAATTGTGACCGATAATGGGAAGCGGTTTGAAAGTGAGCAGTTCCTCGATTTTTGTAATGAACTTAGGATCAAAGTTCATTTCTCCTCTCCTGCCCATCACCAAGCCAATGGGCAAGTTGAGGTTACGAATAGGACAATATTGAAGATGATCAAGACACGCCTAGAAAAGGCCAAGGGCTTGTGGCCTGAACAACTACCCGGAGTTTTATGGGCTTATCGCACTACCGTAAGAACCCCCACTGGGGAGAACCCTTTTGGGTTAGCTTTTGGAAGTGAAGCTGTGATCCCGGTAGAAACAAAGGTTGCTACCTCAGAACCAAGGATTTTGAACCTCAACAGAATAAGGTGAAACTACGATTAAACCTAGACCTGGTAGAAGAGAAAACGGAGCAGGCCCAGGTCAAGGTTGCTACTTACTAGCGGATGATATCCAAGTACTACAATGCCTGGGTCAAGCTAAGGAGGTTCGAGCCAGGAGACCTGGTGCTTCGCGAGGTTACCCCGGCTACTAAGGAAAAGGGGGAAGGAAAGTTAGCTCCCAATTGAGAGGGCCCTTATCGAGTAACCCAGAGCAACAGACCGGGGGCATACTGGTTAGAGTCACTTGGTGGGAGCCAGCTTCCCCACTCGTGGAATACAGAACATTTGAGGAAATATTACCAGTAGGTACTAATGCCAGGCTGTGTTTTATTTTATTATTTCACTTTTAAATGTGATAGAATGTTTTTTGCTTCAATAAAGCAGACCAGTGTGTAACGGATGCTAATACTCGACTATCGATTATTATTTTCGATAGGTCTTTAATAAAATGGTTATTTGTATTTATTGCACGTGTTTCTACTGAATTTAATAAGTCACATAAGGAATAGTAACACATTAAGTCCACTTCTTTATTAAAAGAGATAAGTGACTTTCCCTTACTAAAGGGACGAGCTGGGTAAAGCTCGTAAAAATACGTTCCTTCGGAAGAAGGACAGGCTGAGTGAAGCCTGGAAAAGTAAAATGAGTTCTGCATAAGGAAACAACAAGTATGAAACAATACCATGAAAGACAAAAGTAGAGCAATTATTCTCTGGATTAAGAGATATTCTGAAAAGTTCTAAAGGAACAACATACTGAGAAATAAAAAAACCTAATATATATATATATATATATATATATATATATATATATGTATATATATGACTATTACTATAGAATTCCATCTTCCTCTTCGCTCTCACTTAGAATGTCATACATAGAAAAGTCTATGTCTGGACAATCTTTGCCGACAAGAGTTTTGAACCGGTCAAAACCATCACAGCAAGCCTTGCCTATGAGCACCTTGAATTCATCAGAATTTTTAAAACTCTCCACGGCAGCTAGCTTCTCGAGTTCCAGCTTATCAGAGTATTCTTTGGTAAGTTTCACTTTCTCATCTCGAAAGTTTAATTTTGCATTAGTTAAGTCATCTTTGTAATACCCCTAATTTTAAAAAGGATATTCCTGGTATTTAATGGTATTTAATTTATTATTTAAGTGCATTTTATTTGATTATGTGTCATTATTATTTTTTATTAGGTGCTTAATTGTTTTCTTTTGTGGTGATTTAATTTATTTAAATGATATTTATTTTTAGTTATTTGATTGGAATTACTTGTTAGTGTTTTAATTATTTAATTGGCATTAATGGTTTAAGTGTAATTGGTTTAGTTATTTGATTGGAATTACTTGTTAGTGTTTTAATTATTTAATTGGCATTAATGGTTTAAGTGTAATTGGTTTAGTTATTTGATTGGAATTACTTGTTAGTGTTTTAATTATTTAATTGGCATTAATGGTTTAAGTGTAATTGGTTTAATTATTCTATGTGTGTCTTATTTTATGTGTGTCTTATTTGGTTTAATTGGGTTTACTAATTATTATTTTGTTCAATTAGATTATTTGTTAAATATTTAATGGTAAATAGGGTAATTAGGTAAATACATCTAACTAGGGTTTTAATTACAGTATAAATTAGGGTTTTATATTATAGCCGTCGTAGGTTTCTACGTTAATTGGATGGGCCGGTTAGGATTGTGAGTTGGACTTAAATGAACCTAGGGTTTAGGAAAACTCTATAAGTATAAGGTAGACGTCTGTGTAGGTTTTTTTTAAACAAAGCACACGTTTTGTGGAAGTGGAGAAGGAAAAACGCAGTTTTTTACATTCTGCCAAGGTTTGATCAAAGCTCCGATCCCGCTTCATCCGTGGTCCGATCGAGCTGAATTTTGGAGAAGAAGTTCATGACTCAGTGACGCACAATCTGAACGGTGGAGATCAGAGTTTGACCTAGGGAACAGTGATTCGTACTCGTGAACAGTAACTGGGTCGCACAGGTTTTTTCCATTCTACCCAAATTTCATCAAACATCCGATCCCACTTCGTCCGTGGTCTGATCGAGCTGAATTTTGGAGGAGAGGTTCACGACTCAGTGATGCACAATCTGAACGGTGGAGAATAGAGTTTGACCTCGGGAACAGTGATTCGTACTTGTGAACAGTAACTGCACAGGTTTTTTTCCATTCTGCCCAGATTTCATCAAAAATCCGATCCCGCTTCGTCCGTGGTCCGATCGAGCTAAAATTTGGAGGATAGGTTCATGACTCAGTGTCACACAATCTGAACGGTGGAGATCAAATTTTGAGTTCAGGAATAGTGTTTCGTACCCGTGAACAGTAACTGGGTTTTGGAACTCGCCGGGATTTTTTTAAGAAGACGACGTTGAAACTTTGAACAAAAGTTTCTGAGACAAGATTCTATCCTTACTCTTTCCCTCAGGCTTCATACTCTTTGCACTCTTAAATGATTCCAGGATTAATGAAGATTAAACCAAACTAAAATGATATCTGTTTTGCTATGAAACTGGTAGTTACAGTAGTGTTGTATGCTTGTTCAACCTAAACTAAGCATGTTTGTGGATGCATTGTGGCTTTGTGGTTCACGTTTTCCCTTACCACTGCTAGTATAAATTATTGGAAGGATGGGTCTAGATGATAGCTATCTTAACTTCTGTAATAGCAACTGTTGGAACTTAAATACTAGGAGGATTTGAGTTTAACACTAGATCGGTTTTGTGGAACACTATAATTTGAGCATGTCTACATACATACTGTGAATATTGTTTTGATGCTTACATTATCACAGTTAGTATCAACTGTGGAGGTTAGGATTTTGTGATACATACCCTACATATCTGTATGTCATTTGTAAGGTGTTAAATGGAAGTTTTAATTAATTCTGTCTTTATATCAGACTAAAGGGAACAACTTAAATTGGGCATGTATATGTTGTTGTTGTGACCCTATTTATCAATGCTTATTTTATCACTGCTAACATTGAATGTTGGATGTTGGAATTTAGTTGATATATACTTGATTTATTGGTATTATTGACTACTGGAAGATTGGAAAGTAGGCACCGGTATGGGACGGTGGCATATTAAGGATGGGTTTGGTTTTTAAAACAATACCATTACCCACCTACTTGGAATAAGGATGGGATTAACTAAAAGTTAAGTCCCGTGGATTTGTATTGTTATGGCAACTACTTGTTGAGCGGCAATACCAGGGATTTTGGATGGATTTTATATATGTACTGTTATGGTGCCTCGGTATGAGCTTGAGCCTCAGGATCGATGGCTAGGGAGCGTATATGCATCGGGATGTGTAGCTGGCTACGATGGTTGGAGGTGTACCCTGTTTAGGTATAGGTACATATGCCCACTTCGTGTGCGTTTTAGCATGTTACCTCTATTCCGGCCTGTAGTCCAGTGAGAGTCCTTTAGTGTGACTATATATATATATTTACAGACTATTAGCTATTGCTGAATTGTTTAGGATGTACATGCGTATCGGGCCTCTGTTTGGATTGTAGTAATATAGAACTTGCGCGTGGGCCTGACCCACTTCTATTTTTCAGGTACACGACAGTTCCAGGCTTAGACGTGTTCGTGCTGAGCAGAGGTCTCTATTCACTCTTCCGACGACGTAGGGCTCTCTCTATAGTTTTATTTCTGGACGTTTATTACAGTTGTTCTATCTTCCGTTTGGATGTTTAATAGGGGTCCATTAGAGATGGATTCCCAAGTTGTAAACTGATGGAGTTTTGGAGTTTGGGTTTGATGGATTTTAATAATTATAATATTTTGCGGATTCTATTTTTAGTTCCTTCCAGCTTTAATTTCATTTCTTAATTTATTTTTTATTCTGTGTTCATTATAAATTATTAATTGTTTGATATTCCCTCGGGTTTGGGCCTGGGCTTGATCAACCCGTGTCTTGGATCCGAGGGGTATCACAATCTTCTTTTATTTTAAGTGCAGAAGTAACATCTTCATATTTAGCCTTGAGGGAAGCCATCTTTAGGGAAAGCTTCTCGTATTCTTTAGCGATAACAACAGAGTATGTAGTGCCCTATAAATAAATAAATAGTGGCGAACAGTTAAAAAAATAAATAAAAAAAGGAAAGAGATGCACATAATAAGGGTAAAATCTCACCTGATTGATTAGATGAAGAAATTTCTTTGAAAGCTCAGATGCTGGTAGACTCTGCAATCTGGCAGTGTCATCTTTTACTACCATTTTATGTAACATGTCATTCGCGACATTAGCGTCATCGAGAACCGATTCCCCGTGGGAAAAGGCTTGGTTGGTTGATACCGAACCAAAACTTTCGAAACTCATAGGAACCCCACCAAATCCGCTGAAACCTAGAGGTACAGGAGTAGGACCTGATAACACTCCAGGGCTTGAGGATGTACCATGATTCCCTTCTCCTACCCTTCGTAATTTTTTGGAAGCAGGAGTAGAAGGAAGATTACTTGACCGGACTTGGGTTAGGAGCCTTTTACTGAGCTTCTTGCCTACATAAAGAGTAATAAGGGAAATACTTAATGAGATATTAACTAAAATCAGTAAGTTCACATATAAGTACCTTTGTTTTTCTTACCTTTCTCTGAGTGGGTGGAGGTTTCCTTTGAGCTATGAGCTCGTACATACAAATCTAAAGCCTCGTCAGTTATAAGATCGCTAAAGGTCTTCACTGGGTAAGAAGAGGCATTACCAACATACTCGGTTTCTTGAATGGAGAGGGTTGGTTTGTCCTTAAACTCCGGTAAAAAGAATTGTAAGTTGCACTTAAAAAATAAAAGATAAAAATAAATAAAATTACTATTCATGAACAGTACCCGAGGGTACTGTTCCCTCGCGTGAAAAAAAAAATTAAAAAAAAAATAAATTATTATTTTACTATTCATGAACAGTACCTGAGGGTACTGTTCCCTTGGGTGCAAAAAAAAAAAAAAGAAGAAGAAGAAGAAGAATTTGGAAA